ATATATATATAGGGTGGTGCCTGTGGCTCAAAGGAGTAGGCCGCTGGCCCCATATGCCAGAGTTGGCAGGTTCAAACCCAGCCCTGGCCAAAACTGCAAAAAAATTTAAAAAAAATTAGAAAATAAAAACATTTATAAAATATGTATATTTTATATATAAATATAATATATATTAAATATATATATAATTTTTTTTTTTTTTTTGGCGACTGAGTTTCACTGTGTTACTCTCGGCAGAGTGCCCTGGTGTCACAGCTCACAGCAACCTCAAACTCTTGGGCTTAAGCAATTCTCTTGCTTCAGCCTCCCAAGTAGCTGGGACTATAGATGCCCACCACAGTGCACGGCTATTTTTTTGTTGTTTAGCTGCCCCTGGCTGGGTTGGAACCCACCGCCCTCGGTGTATGTGGCTGATGCCATAACCATTGTGCTGTGGGCACCCAGCCTAAAAAAAAAATGTTTTATTTATTTAATTTAATTTTATTTTTGGAGATGAAGTCTAACTTTCTCATCCTTGATAGAGTGTTGTGGCGTCATAGCTCACAGCAACCTCCAACTCTTGGGCTCAAGCAATTCTCTTGCCTTAGCCTCCCAAGTAGCTGGGACTATAGGTGCCTGCCACATTGCCCTGCTGTTTTTTTAGAGACCAGGTCTAGCTCTTGCTCAGGCTGGTCTGGAACCTGTGGGCTCAGGACAAGCCACCCACCTCAGCCTCCCAGAGTGCTAGGATTACAGTTGTGAGCCACTTCGCCCCACCTGGTCTTGAACTCTTGAGTTCAAGGGATCCACGCACCTCGGCCTTCCAGCTTGTTAAGATTATAGGTGTGAGCCACTGTGCCTGGCAAAATCAGTGCTTTACAAACTATGCTTGAAGAGGAATTAGATCACTGCCAATTGTGTAAGTGGTCATTTCTCAATTGAGAATGGATTTTTAAAAGGTTACTGGATAAATTGTTCTCAAGTTTAATTTTTCTTAAAAATCTGGCGCCTCATACTGAGTCCTCACAGGTGTCAAAGTAAATGAACAAGTAGCAAAATCAGAAGATATTTAGAGCTTAGTTCAAAAGCTCATTGTGATTACAGGATTTGAGAGTGGCTACATATAAGCATATTTCCTGCTAATAAATGTGTTTCTGGGTAATTCTGCACAGAGGAGATTGTCCCATAAAGAGCATCATAATTGATAGGTAATCATTCCATGTGAGCATGTTTGAGAATAAGTGTGAAGAATAACCACAAATTGAAAAGATAGTGATAAGTACAGTAGTAGATGTATGTGCAAAGTTTGGTGACACCAGAGGGCCTAAAGGAGTGTCAGGGAAGGCTTCTAGGAGGATGTGGTACTTGAGCTGAATTTAAAGGATGTGAAGTCTAGAAAAGAGCATGTGCAAAGCATTAGAGGCAGAATGGGCAATATAAAACAGAATTCTGGAGTTGGCTGCCCAGATTTTGAGTTATAGAAGGGAAGGATGCTTGTGGATATATGGATGTTAGTGGATCTGGTTAACTAGCTGGGGATTATTTAGGGAAGAGACATATCCTTAAGGAAAGGACATATCATAATGCTGCCTAAGGATTTTGGACTTTATTTTGAGGAAAAGAAAGTGGATGCTGAAATATCCAGTAAAGAAATAACATGATTTCTTTTATAAAGAAATTCTATTACCAGTAAAGTGACTCAAAGACAAAACTAGAGGCTTGACGCCTGTGGCTCAAGTGGCTAAGGCACCAGCCACATATACCTGAGCTAGTGGGTTCATACCCAGCCTGGGCCCACCAAATGACAGTGACGGCTGCAACCAAAAAATAGCCTGGTGTTGTGGCGGGTGCCTGTAATCCCAGCTCTTTGGGAGGTGGAGACAGGAGAATCGCTTGAGCCCAGGAGTTGGAGGTTGCTGTGAGCTGTGATGCTACAGCACTCTACCCAGGGTGACAGCTCGAGGCTCTGTCTCAAAAAACAAACAAACAAACAAACAAACAAAAAAACTAGAAATAAGACCACTTGGAAGACTGTAAGTAAAACTAGTAGAGAAATGACAAGCTTAAATTAAGCAGTAAGGATTGAGAGAGAATATGGATTTTGAAAAGCATAAAAGATAGGATTCACAGGACTGTAGTGTATGTGGAGGGGTTGGGAGCAAAAGGTTGAAGAAAATGGAATTTTTCTGGTTGAGGTAACTAAGTGGATGGTGGGGCCATTATTGAAGTTATGAAAATTTGGAGGCTGAGGACATTAAGATAATGAATATTAGTTTGAATATGCCAAGTTTGAGTGTTCTGTCAGACCTGTAGACAGCTATGTCCAATAAAGTTAAAGTCTGTGCTAGTTTTAGTTGTCACAGCACTGTAAGTTGAGTGCATGGTTCCTTAGAAGAAAATGCAGCAAATAATGAGGCCTAGAGTTTGCTTCTCAGTGGGAGACAAATAGGCTGCAGAATATACAAAAATCCCTTCTTTCTTGGAGCTGTATTCTAACAGAGATTGGGGATATGGGCAATATAAAGTAGTGAAATGGGCCAGGTGTGGTGGCTTATGCCTATAATCATAGCACTTTAGGAGTTCAAGGTTGGAGGATTGCTTGGGTCAGAAGTTTAAGACCAGCCTAAGCAAGAATGAGACCCATCTCCACCAATGATAGAAAAAATTAGCTGGGCATAGTGGTGTGGTGGTGCGTGCCTGTATTCCCAGCTGCTTGGAAGGCTGAGGCAGGAGGATTGCTTGAGTCGAGGAGTTGGAGGTTGCAGTGAGGTATAATGACTCCACTGCACTCTAGCCAGGGTGACAGAGACCCTGTCTCAAAAAAAGTGTGAGAGGGGGCAGCGCCTGTGGCTCAAAGGAGTAGGGCGCTGGCCCCATATACTAGAGGTGGCAGGTTCAAACCTGGCCCCAGCCAAAAATTGCAAAAAAGAAAAAGAAAGAAAGGAAGAAAGAAAATAGTAAAATACATAGTTAAATAGGGAAAGAAGTTCTGTGGCGACAAATTAAGCATGAAGAAGGGATAGCGCATCAGAATCATTTTTAAGAGGCTTATTAAAACAGATTATTGGTTCCAGACCCAGAATTTCTGATGAGTAAATTGTGAGTGGAACTAAAGAATTTTCGGCAAGTTTCTGTATGCTGCTGATTTTGCTGGTCTGGAGACAACAGTTTTAGAATTAGTAGGATAGGCTCGGCGCCTGTGGCTCAAGCGGCTAAGGCACCAGCCACATACACCTAAGGTGGCCGGTTCGAATCCCTAGCCCGGGCCCGCCAAACAACAATG